GTGGGATGGGATGGTACGGTGTTTGATGGGATGGGATAAAATGGAGAGCCCAAGGGATGCTTCACTTGTCCAGATGGAGAGGACGATAAAGGACGGGATTGGGCCCAATGGATCCTTCAATTGCCCGGACGGATGGGATGAAACGGCGTTGGACACAACCAACCGACCATCCTAAATCATTTGTCTTGGTCCCTGGCTCGCGTTTTCTTTGTTTTCCTTTCCGTGAATGTTTGAAAAAGCCTGCTCCCTCCAGGGCAAGGGTCAGATAAGACAACGTAGTCATTGAAATATGTAATGTATGTCAGGACAGAGACCGCAGGAATCTGGATTTCTTGATCTTGTCTTGTAGAGAGGAGATAAATAGCACAACCACGCCTCTCGCACCCATGCACACACTCCCATCACCCGTATCGAGCAGGATTCTTACTCAGCAAGAGAACCGAGAGCTCATCCGCCGAACGCTGTTCGGTAACGGCATGGACCCTAGCGGCTTGTGGACGAAGGCCCCTCGGTGCTTGCAAACGGCCTTCGGCAACAAGGTTGGTCGCGGTTGTACCTTTGGTCCGGTGTTTCGTCTGTTGCGCGTTGACGAGTAGCGTGGTCGTTTTTGTTTCCGTTGTGAAGCTGCTGTTGCTGCTGCTGCTAACATCATTGTTGTGGGTGGCGCTCAAGTAGTTGTTGATGCTGCTGCTAACGTTTTTGGTTGTTGTAGTTGTTGAAGCGCACGAAACACAACCGACGGACCAGCGACAACACCACAACACCAAACAGCGACAACACGACAGTGAATAGCAACAATATATCACCGCCACCACCACGACCACTTCAACAACAACAACAACAACAACAACAACAACAACGACAACGACAACGACAACATCAACCAGCAACAAGAACAAGGATAACAATGGCAGTAACAATAACAACAACATCATCATCAACACCACCATCAACCACAACAAAACCACATCAACCATAACAACAATAACAACAACAACAGGTGCCGAGGAACGATGACTTCTACCGGTGGACCATATCCCCGGTCCCCGACCGCTGCATCCTCGACCACGGACTGAACGCCCTCGTCGACCCCGAGCAAGACGATGTGCTGTACGTGGCAGAGTCCGTCTACGCGGACAGGCAGTCCTTCATGGAGTGCCTCATGCACGAGACGTACGAGTGGGCTTACGGCTCCCATCAGGTTGGCCGCGTCTGGCTTCTGTTAATGTTAAAACGTCTGGTTTATCTGAAACGTCCTCACTAAGACCGCAAGAGGATGGTTCAGTGTACGTTAAAATATCTTGGATCACCCCGCCCCCGGTAGGGATGCGAGGTCAATGGTCTAACGACTACGGCATGCACGACTATGAGTACACCCCCCCCCCCGTCCGCTCTCCTTACATGTTGCGTTTTTGGACGACTTGTTGATGAGCTGTGGAAAGGAAAGTTGGCTTCGAAACCCGGCCGGTTGCCCTCTCATTGGCGGGGCGGGGTTGGCTAACGGTCGTGGGAGTATTATATTTCTAGTCTTGTTTTTGACTGTTTTTTTTGTGTCTTTATTTTGTGTTCTTGGGGGGGACGTAGTACAAAAAAGGGAGGTTTTATTTGTTATTCATCGCGGCAGAAGAGCTTGGTGCCGAATCAACACCAAAATGCGTCGTGCCGAGATTTCCGCCAAGGTGCTTTTGGCTGCACGGCGAGGGTCGTACATGTTCGTGTTGATCGTAGTGGTTGCACTACTTTGCAAAGGCGAAGGAACCCCTCGCACGCGCCTGCGGTCTTTTCTGCGGCAAATGTGTACGTTGACAGCAGCAGAGGCACGTTGAGACCTGAAACGAGATTTACAGGTTTTTTGTCTAGAAAGAAACGTGCTTCCTCTCTTGAGTTACTTCTATAGTACGTGTTGTTTTTTTCGGTAGTTCTACTTGGTGTTTTGTCGCCGCTCCCCACCCTTGTTCTTCATCCCCGAATAATAATATTAGTAATGATTACAACGACAACGACAACGACAACAATGCAGGTGGGTGTGCTGGCAGAGCTTCTTCGCGACCCGCTTCCGATGCGGATGCGGAGACAGATCGCTGGGGAAGAGACGCGGCTGCCGACGCTCGTTGACCGCACCCTTCCCTGTACCGTGGACGTCATCAGCATCGGATGCCTTAAGGTACGGGTAGGAATACTACGCCCAGTTTAGCGATGCCTGAAGGTACAGTAGGAATACTACGCCTAGTTTAGCGATGCCTGAAGGTACGGTAGGAATACTACGCCCAGTTTAGCGATGCCTGAAGATACAGTAGGAATACTACTCCCAGTTTAGCGACCCCTCCCTACTGTAGTGTCAGGAGGGAATATGTGGTCGCTATTCGTCGACATGGCGGCTATTTGTCGGGGTGTAGCGGTGGTGGCACGCGATTTTGTGATCGCTGCATAGGGCATGTCGCTAAGCAGCGGGTCGCTAAACCCGGCCCACCACGGTAGTACACAATTGTCAACATGGGGCAAGAATGCCGACTTAGGATATTAGGTAAATGTGGCTGACCACTTCAGCCGACAGGTAGGGTGTCTGCATTCTTGGTTTGCTTAGAAGAGCCTACCCCCTGCTCTTGGTCCGTGCTGTCTAGTTTACCCCGAGTACATGGTGCAGTTTGCGAGATTGATCTATATCAAAGAGCACGATGGTCGGGTCACTCACCAGTGTTGGGTAGATACCGGCGTATTTAAACACGTCCCCACCGCCCCAAAGGGGGCC